AAAAGGATTGCTATTCCCTCGGGTAGTATACTGTTTCTCTTGGTTTTTTCTTCATCCCTGCAGTACTAACTAGCTCTACCTTGACTTATGATGGACTTTCTTTCCATCGTGAACGCTGCCTTTAGTCCTTGTTCGACGCTCTCTCAGCACTTCTTTCTTTTCGCTTATTTCATTCGGAAGATATGGAATGAGTGCGGGCAACTGAAAACCCATCTGCGCTTCGCTGACGATGCAAACTCGCTTCCCGCCCTACTCGTAGTCCTTGATTACTCCCTACCATCTTTGAATAATCAATAATAACACTAGCTATTATTACTGACGGGAATATTGCAAAGACTAGCGTAAAGAAGATTCATTATGTGCTCCGTTCTTTGGAATAATCTTGGATGCCATTTCACCCTTTCTAGTCTGACTCATCTAGTGAACAATTTGTTTACAATGCTCTCTCTCCAATCTACGCACACTCAGCTAGAGCATTCAAGGACGTTTGATGCGGTTTAAAGTGAGATGTATTTTAGAACTCATATTGCTTCATATGCATATAACAGCAAGCGCGTTTTCATCAGCGAATAGCTTCCACTTCCTATTCTCACCTAAAAATTGCTCCAAGCTGTTTTTGCGGAACTCCTAGGATATTTCAAAGCCTTGGAGTTCATATTCTTTTTTTTGTCCATGGCAAAAACTCAGCTGATGAACGTGACATAACATTTCAGGGAAGCAACAGGCTCGCGAATTATTTCACCACGACAACACTTCTATATTTGAAATATCTTATTTCTTTCGCTGTTTGCACGTTCTTAATGGAGTTCCTGAAATGCTTCGTCGGCCGTCTCCGACCCCACTTTCTTGCCGTTTGTCAGCCTGATTGGTCTCGCATGGATTGCACGGACAAGGAATATATTCCTGGTACGGTTTTAGCTCAAATGGTTCTAGTTATTCTTTGGATCGCTGCTTCGCTCATGAATATTTCTTATATCCATCGCTGGATATCGTTTGTTAACTTGATAATTTCGAATTTGCGCTAACAGTGTTCAAGTAGTTGGCAGTTAGACTAATCCTGCGTCAGTGTACTAGTACCCTATTCATCAAGCGCAGCAAGCAAATGGAAAATAGTATCTGAGCTGGCGCAAATTTCACCGCAGTACCCCAGCTATTTGAGGTGGATTGGAGGCACTGCTCTGATTCCTCTTTCAGTTTTATACAGTGTGATTTGAAAACCGAGTCCCATCTGCTTATATCGTTCGCCACCAGGGTTTTTTTGAGTGGCATCCATATTTCTAACGTACTAGTGTCAGCTAAATTTGATGCAAGGAAACTTTGCTGCAGCGATGCCAGCGGAAGGGCTAAAAGAATGCATTCTCCGTCAAACCATCCCTTCATGAGATGCACCGCAATTATACTCTATCTCCATTCAGAACTGTAACAACAGTTGAGGGATGCTCAGTCCAGTGACTTGTGGTGGTTCACGCTGCCATATGTGTCTGATACAGTCAACGTCAGGTGTGGAACGATTAGTTGACCGGGGTGTGATTCGAAATAATGTCGAACCCTGCTTTATAAAAGACATCACTTGCTGTAGCATCAAATGCTCCTTAGATGTCATATAAACTAATGGAAAAAGTATGTCATTAAATTGTGCAGAAGTGGCAGTGCCATCATAAGATAAAACCACGGGGCCACTGTGGTGAAAGTGTTCTCATTAGTAATGCTTCACAATAGCTACAGCGATAATGCTCCGAATATAAAAGGTGTTTTTAGTGTCAGAAACGTTCTGTACGAATCCTGACACAAGGCGAATTCGTACGGCTAGAACCTCGTTTCCATCAGGGCACACTGCGGCCGCTTTTCACGTTTGGATCTTTCTTGTCATATATTTGTGCAGGTAAATGGACAACTTATAGTTAATCTCACAAAGTGAGTCCAACTTGGCAATGCGGGACAAGTCAATATTTCTAGAATGGCAAGGATCACAGCGATTCCATCTTTATACAAAACTCGCAACATATTGTTAGCGATCTTCACGGGCTGGACTGGATTTACCGCAATAACCAGGATCACTGATTATTGGCATTATCCAAGCGATGTTCTCGGTAAGTTTTTGTTCAGTTTTTCTTCAGTAAAAGCGCGTTTCGGTCGTTCGTAATAACTTCGTATAGCATAATGCACGAAAATGAGCCAACAGTCATCCAATCAAAACTGCAAATAATAGAATTTGTGCGACACAAATCCTAAACCCATGACAGATCATTTTTTGTCCTATCCGTATCCTAATCTCATTTGACCCTCTAACCGCCATGCCAACCTCAATAGTTTTGTCGCTGTGCACTCATTATCTGCTTTCGTTATACTTAATTGTGGTCCTATTCTTCTGGTGTTCTTGCTCCTCTCCTGTACCCCGGTGCTCAGCTATTAAGTATCTGATTGAACTCTGCTCTGCTTGCTGAATTTGGGTAGGGGCTGGGGTCCCCGACCCGCGATGCTGAATGTTGGGGCTCCCAACAGAGTTTCGTCGCGGGACCAGGCGGCCACTGACCGGTCCTTTGATTTTACGATTACCTTTTCACCTTTTCCCTGTTTTATATTGTAAATTTGTCCATGTATATACAGCTATATTGTTGTAATTGCGTTAGTATAATCCTTTGATTCATATATGCTGACGTCGGACTCTGCTAATATGCCATAATCTTGCCAGTCTGTCAATTCACTACTTTAGACTAAAGTTTGGTTCGCGTCTTCTATTACTTCGTGTCACATTGGTGTATTACTTCAATATGGCAATGTGTGCGTGGACGAATCTGTAACCTAGAACAGTGAAAAGACAAAAACTTCATCACAGAATTAAAGGACTGGCCAGTCACCTGTAGGTCCCGCGACGAAACTCTGCTGGGAGCCCCAACATTCAGCATCGCGGGTCGGGGACCCCAGCCCCTACCCAACATTCAGCATACGGCCCCTCCGAGCACTGCCCGGGACGTTGATCTTACCCCAGGTTTCATGAGGGTTTTGTTTCTCAAATTTCATAAGTGGTTTGTTGAAGGAATTCAGAATCCAGGTGAAACTGTGTGATTGAAACCTTCAATTTGCGATTATATGAACAACTGAATTGGTTTTCTACTTCTGCTGTGGTCTGTTCTTACAAGTGTACAATCCCATTCATCCTGGTACATCTTTTGTTGCAGATATAATTAGAAATTTGTACCTTGTGCAGGTGTTTCAACAATTGTAATTCTACATAGATTCATATGTTCTGATGCAGAATCGTTGTTAAACAGCTTGTGATATCTGTTGATGGCAATGCAAGAACACATAATAATAGCTAAATATGTCAACCGACGCAACACAGTATAATCATGCTTCCACGGGTCTTTGTTTCTCACGTCTAGGATGATCATGAAATGAAATTTGCATCCGCATCTCATGCGCCTCGTCAAAATTATTTGGTATTAAGGTGGAATTTTACTCGCAGCATCATGTGTCTTGCCAGTGTTTGGATGGCAATGGAGAACTCCCGAAGATGTTTACGGGTCTCGTCAGCTTGAGAAACAGCGCCCCCATTTTGAATAATATCGTAGGCTCAGCTTTTCTTATTTTAGTTAGTTTGATCATTCCAGAAATTCGTCTTCATTGTGTGATTTTCCTTATCTTGTGCCTTTTCTTTTTGGATCTGTGATATTGTTACTCTATTTCACCGCTACCTTGCATGCTATGATGATGATTTTGATGCATGATGCATTTTATGCTATTTAGGGGTGTTTTGAGACGTTGGGCAATTTGCAATAAAGAGCATAGCAGAAATAAGTTTCTATCATGTTATTATAAAAAAAATTATTTGAGGTGGATGACCTTGGATTGTCGCGTATCATTATCATGCGTCGTGAACACTTGAAAAATGTTGTGCGTTTATTGTTGAATGGTTCATATCTTATGATTTTGTATAGATAAACTATAAAAGAGGAACTTCTTGGAAATGAGTTGTAGTAGGGGTCAGTAAGGAATCAGTTTTTTTTTGAGGATTTTGCTTAGGAGGTAGTTTCATTGAAATTGAGGAACTGAGCATATTTAGCATATTGTCTTCCATAGCTTTGTCGAATAAAAAGTTGGTCACTTCGAAATGACACAGTCGTTAAAGGTAGCACTCAAGCTCTATCTAATATGAAAATTATGTCAGAAAAAGAAATGCCTTGCCGGGAACGATTCATTGACTTGAGGGTTTGCTTTCATTTCAGATTCTGACTATTTTAGGTTGCGACGTAGCATAATGCCTGGAGAGGAGGAGTTACATCTGAAAGAAGCATGCAAGCATTTTGAAGCTTTATTCAATCGAGTTAAGAAGAAGGAGGAGTTTGTCGACTGGATTCACACCACCTATTGTGAGGGTGAAGACTGCGCTAAACCAATGTTCGTGATTGATTCCATAAGCAAACTGCGTGAGATAGCGGACCACATAAAAGCGAAGGTAATTGTGTTATTTCGGTGTAACTTTTCTCAATCATTACTGTAGGAATAGTCCTCTTTAGGTACAAACAAAAGCTCTTCCTGGGCTTCCCCAAAAATGGAAAGTTTGGGGCAGGGTTTTCTTTTTACGTTGTTATGAAGAAATATGAATTTCGTTTTGGACAGACAGGTTACGGGCTCTTCTTATTCGCTACAGTATGATACGCATTACTCGCCAAATGTCCTAATGATGGATGATGTTCGAGCCGCGCTCGACATCACTCAAGCACAAGATCGTCAAATTATGTCTAGATTTCAGTTCTTGGAAGTTTTTTCCAAGCTTTGCGTCGAACACTTCTTGATGATTCATCTGAGCGATTCCACCAAGGGGTCCAGTCGAAGAATTTCTGTGAAGATCTCATTCCGAGAAGGCGACGTCGTCTTACTGTAAAGAATTGATCTACGAGTATAAGAACCAAGCGTGCAATTTTGCAAATTGATACTGCTCATACGACTCCTAGTCTGCGCAGAAAGCAAAGGATAGGTTGGGTGCCGCTTTCTTGCAAATGGACAGGGGGAGCAAGCAGTATACCCTAGTGGCAGACTTTCATATTTGATATCTGTTTGGCACAGAAGCAACAGTACTATTTGTTATTTGAATTATTACGAGCCGTCTGTAGGATAGCTTTTATTTCTGCTCGCTTCTAGAGCATGTGTAATGAGGAAGGGACTACATAGGTACAACCGTATCGGTGCCGCTGGCAGCTAGGGTCAGATGCCTGTAAGACTTGTCATTGTGTTTTGCATGAGCAGCCGCTGCTTTTTTTGGATCTGTAAGCAGTCTTGATTAGGATCTGTGTAGCAATCTAGCTGTCCAATTTATAACAGCGTACAGTCGATATCCGAAAGTTGGGGTAGGTGTGGCACCGGAAGTGACGTGTGCACTTGATAGAAGTTCGTGGATAAGCTGTTGCCAGCATGCTTTGCTGATATGCCGCGATGTATGTTGGAAGCAACTTATCCACGTAGCCTCTATCAAGTGCACGTCACGTCCGGTGCCACACCTACCCCAACTATCGGATATCGAGTATAGACAATGTAATATCAACACCTTGACGTGAGCGTGATCCTTATACGCATCACGCCCATGTTATTAATGTTTCGCGCGTGCGTTTTTTTTTGATTGCGTGCATTTGTTCATAGTTCGTATCCAAATATAACAACGAACGCCATGGCTCGCAGAATATCCAGGCATGCTTTAGCAATTTTTCAAGCCTTACGAGTCTTCATTAGATTCATTTGTTCATATGGTCATAAACCGTAAAATATCATATCCGTGTCAGAAGTAAATACGGAACGCTGTGGATGGCAAGATATACCAGAACTGCAACAAAAATTTTTTAAGCTTTTGCGGCTAAAGCTAGCAATTTTTGTTTTCCATTGTAATCACTCGTGTTTGGTCAAAATCTTGTTACCTCTGAATAATGAAGTCGTAGCGCATATGCTTTGTCTGTGATCGCGATTGAACTGCGTCCATTTTTTCACCGAAATAGATGTGTAAGAGTGATTCCATGTCAAGTGATTTGGTCTACCTTTAGATTCCCGACGGATCTGTCCAAACGGAGAAATTGATATGGCCAAGCAGTGGGCATGATGCAGATTGCAAAGAGAAAAACACAGTATGAGAAGTATTATAGTTCTATTAATAGTATTATATACTGACACTTTCGCGAGCTCGCTCAACCGCCGTTTTGCAGGTTCACGTTGACTGCTTTTTGTATGATGATCATTCAATGCAGGCAATGATTGCTGCAGGAACGTCGCAACGGTACGTGGAACGCTGATGTCAGTAGTATTGCGTTTGTCAAGAACACGGGAATATGTCTATTGATTATTGTTTAGGAGATTCTGTGTTGACTGTGGTTCCAGAAATATCAAGGATTTAAACTTTATAAGTCACAGCCTAGCGCACTGTCAGGTAGTTTCACAATTCAACTGTCGCATTTTTGTGTAGTTATCTCGCCAATTTTGAGGTTCAGTCATTTGCTCTATTGGTTATTCTTGGCTAACAGTAATTAGTGATGTTATCTCATAGATTTGTCTATGAACAATTGTGAGCCTAGGATAGCATTTCAGACCAAGAAACGTATAGAAAATGTCGTGGATTTTTCAGCTAGAGTTCATCTTCACCCAGCTTGTTCCTCTGAAATCACAACCGGAAGGATTTCGTGTCTTAGATATCGGTTCTCGTCTAGGAGCAGTCATATATGCAGCCTCTTTGTACGGGTCAGTTTCTCATTGATATGTTACCGATCATATATGGTGTTTATGTAATGAATCCAATAATTACGTGCTTCTCATTTAGTTGCGGAAAGGTATCGGTAACCGGAGTGGAGCTTAATGAGGAGCTGGTTAAGCTTCAAGAGGAGGTGATCAGTAATTTCAACCTGCAGGTAAAACTGATTTTACATGTAACGAATTTGACTAAGGCTTTTCTTCGTGCGATATGTAGTGAGGAGTCCTTCCCCCCGAAGCCACCAATCCTCTCATTTTCTCAAGGACTGCAGACCATCTTAGAGCCGGAACTAAGAAATTTCAAAATCTAAACACAGTCGCTCATGAGTCGGAACTGTTTATTGTGGCCGAATCTCTACAAACGTGTTCAGATCCCGTAGATGTTACTTATTTCCGCCATTTCTTCCGTCTCGGAGGTGTTTTGATTGTATCTGATCCATGCGGCACCATACCAAACTTGACAAGGCATCTCCTAGGGGTTCTACGAATAGTGCCAAAGTTTAGGACAAGCGGGCTACTCTAATGCAAGCAGTCAGTGTTGATCGCATAGTGAGGATATACAAAAACAACTACTATTCGTCAGTGGAGTTATTGATGCGATTTACTCATTTCATTCAATTCAGAACATAGATGTCATCTGTGCAGATGTTCGAACACAAGCCGGATCTGATTAGCCGTGCTGATCTTATCATTATGAACAATGTGTTCTCCTTTTTCATGGAAGCTGACGAACAGGTATTGAGGCAGTCGTAATATAAACAAAGCATAGTTAAACGCATATACCATTGTAAGCCCCGGTAAGAAGGCTAAAACTATAGAAACAGTTGGAAATTGTGCCACTTCCGCGGTTTGGAAGTGCGCCACAAGGGCACAGCTGCTCATTGAGCCGATGCAAGCCGGACCTATTGCTCTTATCGCAACGTTCTATGAGGTGGGCGTCTGCGTCTCGCTTATTTGCTCTATTTTTCTCTTCTCGTAGTCTGTTGTCTCGCCCCTCTGGACTGTCCGCCTTCGTACACACGTTCCCCCCCCCTCAAGAAGAGAGGATCCTTAGTTCAGGTTATTAATTCCTTCCCTTCTTCTTGGCGGCCCCTACATCGCACCGTTTCGTTTCAAGCGGAAGAATCATATCAAATAGTTATGGAAAGTACCATCAAACGACGTGTGGGGTCGCATCTGAAAAGTTGCACCAACCATTGTACCAGCCAGTGTTTTATCCAGTCGAGTCTGGTTCCAGTTGACGGTTCTGTAGGGGTAGTTGCCTGGTCGGAATTGATCCGAGATTTGATTCTGAACCATGCTCATGAGAAGATACGCCGCTTGACACTAAACCGCCTTCGCCCGCCTAGCGAAATAACCTCTGATCCTTTCTCCCTGTCTTTCGACATCATTCACCA